TTCGAAGCTTTGGAAACGTCGAAACTCGAGATCACATCAAAGTGATTCTTATTCGTTATCGTTATATATATATATCCTCGTGGCGATTTCACGTGCTCGTTACACCGTGTCGAGCGATGTTACGTGGCGCGTTGCGCAAAAAACTGGCTGCCAGTGACTGGAAATCTCGATTATAACGCGTGCGGATATCCTCCAAATCCGTGAATAATTAATCAATCGGAAAGATTTCGCCGCGCTCTGCCGCATCCCTTTGTCCTTGAAAATTATATCATCGGAGGCGACTTTCATTTTCGTGCCTGTTGCTCGCGAATTTTTATTCCGCCGGCCGTTGCTGGGATACGATAATTATTGGAGATTTTTATTTATTTTTAGGTGATCGTAATTGCGAACAACGGTTATAGCTAGGGATAATTGTTGTTTAAGCGTTTTAATGAGTGATTACTTTATTTTCTATGGTTGTTGCGATATTAGAATCATTGTTTTGTGTATAGTATATGTTTGAATGTTAATATTCGATTGAAAAAGTAAGTTAGTTAAAATTATCGAAATAACTATTAAATTTCATCGTAATCATTGATTAAAACTATTGTTTTATCATGATTGATTGTTACGTTTGATTTCGATTTTTGAAAATAGAATTAGATATAATTATATCCGCGATAAAAAATAATTCGAATGATAATAGAATTAACGGTAAAAATTAGAAAGCGAGAAGCGTATAAAAGAAATGCGAGAAAGAAATGGTGTGAGTGAATTAATGAAGGTGTCCTTGAACGACCGTGACCTTGTTCGACGTTCGAGTTCCTGGAATATCCTGAGATCCTGACAGCTGATTATATCACACAACTTTTTAAATATTCTAGACAGACTGCACATATGATTTTAACCCAGGTTAAAGTTGAACCATAAACTTGTCGACGAGAATTACACGACGTTATATACGACCAATAAGTCTCGTAACATTGCGCTAGGATAGTCGTTTGCTTCTCCGAATAATAATATATATATATATATATAAAAGAAGAAGAAAAAGAAGAAGAAGAAGAGAGAAAGAAAGAAACTTTTTTTACTTAGAGTATTATCTATATTTCCTCTAATAAATTGTTTTTCGTTTCTATGCTTTTTGTCGATCGTTCGTTTAAAGTTTTTTTACACATATTTAAGATAAGAAGCCCGGGCACATCGAAGCGATGGCTATTCATTGGACGGATGGGAACGAGGAGTGGTTTATCTGATCGTTGCGGTTAATTGGCTCGAAAATTTTTTTACATAATTAAAATTTCCTTACACGGTCGTTAACTTCCGTGAAACTTATCAACGATGCATTGCTTATTGCGCAATCCATCCACGTAATGGCCTCTATCATTCGGTAAAAGTGAAAATTTCGAAACGGGACCTTTTACTTTCGCCCGTATAATAACAACTTACTTACTTATTACTTATTTAAAGTTTATTGCACCGTGAGTTATGCGTGTAATAATTTTTATTTATAACTCTCGACTTCTGCAACGAATAATTAACGACTGGTTCGATTTGATCAGTTCGAAATCAACAATTTAGACACGAGTCGAGGATAATTTCTCATTTACAATTGTATTGTATCGTGATTTTGAAAGCAGAAAGAGAATTTCGCAATGAACGATCCAATCCTCCCCTCCGAGAATGCGATACGTATCATGTACAAAACATCGAGAAGAAGCCCCTCCATTTCGTGGGGCGGCGAAGAAATCCTATCAACCGAAAGAGACGGTGAAAATCTAATTTTTTCCCACGAATTCTCTCGAATTCGAACCTCGATATACGAAATATCAGCCCGTACAGTAATTTGATTTTTGAATTTTTGTTCAACTTTTTTTTTTCTTTTTTTTTTTTAAACTTGGTAACATAAAACAGAATACATTGGATAGTTTGCACAATATTTTAACAATAATAACTCTTGTCGATAATTAACTCGGCAGAGTTAATCTATAAAGTATATTGCATGTATTTTGAAATTTCGAAATTCTTAAAAAATTATTAAATTTAAATTAATAGAAAAATATCGTATATAATAAATGTTTTGTAATTTAAGTACAAATTTTTTTATATTTAATACATTGGACAATAGTTTGCACAATATTTTAACAATACACTCTTGCCAATAATTAATTTCGAAATTTTTAAATTAATATAAGAATATTCCATCAAAATTGAAAGGTCGATTTGGAAACTCATTTATGAAATTCTGCTAGTAAAAAGTAAATGTTTTAATAACTACAAATTTTAAATTATACCTCGCTTCATACAGCCTTATTCACGTATACGTATATATTTAGGATACACTGAGCCACGTGTGATACCCTAATCTCCGAAACACTCGAGACCAAAAACCGATCATCGATCAATCATCTCGATTACACCCTGTATCTCTCAATAACGAAAAAAATACCATCCAATATTTTTCCGTTTCTAACGTTTTTCCGTTTCACAACGAAGAAATTGATCACACGTGAAAATGTTGCAAACCTTGGTGTTTCGATGTTATGGCCGACGAAAATCGATTCGTCCCAAAACGTTACTTTACCCCCTCCCCTCCTTTTCTCTCGCTCCTCTCTTCCCTTCCGTGACTGAATGAACTTACTTACTCGTTGGAACGAGTGAAGAATCAGGCTTCGTTTCGAGAAGAATGAAAGTCGAATGCGTCTTTTTCTTTGAAATTTATTCCAAGTTTGACACAGATACAGAGCGAATTTGACAGGAGGGGGAGTTTGTGAAATATATTTCGACCGCGGCTGGGTCGCAAACGGCCGATCAGCAAGTGTAATGGCGGCCGCATTAATATTAATATTCGGCTTGTCCGTCTCTTCTCAACCGTTTGTTCATCAATATTTGTCTTAACGCACGGCACCCCGGGTGCACCTGCTGTTTACCAAGTCTTGCCTGTCATTTCTCTTCGGTTTTAATAACCGTTCAAGCCTCGTTTCGTTGTCATTTTGCGAAAAAAAAAAAACAAGAAAGAAAGAAAGAAAGAAAGAAGAAAAACTAACCAACGTTTTGAAAACGAGAATTATTTCGTTCCAAAATTTGGATTTGTTTTTGAACTCTGGATTGAAGCAAATTTTTCTTTTTTCATGGAAAATAATTTCGCAGGGAGAAACGAATCGTTGATTCTTTTACTGAGTGCAAGATTCCTTAGATTTGTGAAACGTAAGAAATTTTTATCTCTTGTTACGTTTAAAAATTCTCTTTTCTTTCAAATCAAATTTTTCGATACGAAAATATCATCGAAAAAGTTGCGTGCATATCTCGAGTATATAATACTTCGACAATGTATCGTAACGTCGCGAATATTGCGACGTTGTCGCGCTTTTTCATTGATGGCATTTTAACAGACGACCCCGTTCCTGCACACACGCGAAAGTTGTGTACCGCGAGTCGGTCTGCTCGGAGGGCATCCTCCCCCCCTTGTTAAATATGTTATTCGTTAAGGGACGGAATCGGGGCAACGGGTGGGATCTCGTTTGATAGTCTGTACGAGTATCGTAGAGGGTGAGAAGTTAGATACAGTTTATATCCCCAGGTGTGCGTCCAATTTTAGGGGTAGCGCCCGTCAGACGGTAATTATATTTAATGAGAACGTGAATAATTCCTGTTAAATCCTTGTCCAACCTCGCCTCTCGCGAGTCGAGTGAAATTGCCGTGTGTAATTCGGTCGATCGACCACGATTTCTCGATCGTCCGCCATATTTATTTTAAACGAATAATATAAATCGAATATAATTCTCGTATATTCTTCTCTCTTTTCTCTCGCGAGGAAATTATTAGAGTAGATGGAATTCGAAATAGATGAAAATTAAATTTCTGCGTCGGATTTTTTTTTTCGAATATCGTGTAAAAAAAAAAAAAATAGAATAAAATAAAATATTGAAAAAGGAGTTTTGGCCAGAGTTTGGGGATTATTTATTATCTTGTAAATATTTAAATATTTTATGTATAAATGATGTATTGAATATGGAATAGTAAATGGGATGTATATTAACGAGATGCGTTATTAATTTTTGTTATCTAAAATGTATTCGTGTTGTATGTTTTTTAATCCGTTTATTCGACTCGAGTAATGCGATTTTAATGATTTTGAATTAATTAATTAGATATTTCTAGAATTATTATTTTTATTTGGAGAAGGAGGATATTTTTAATTTTTTGTACCTTTTAAGAAATATTTTTTACTATTAAAAAGTTAAGGATAAGTGGATATTTCCAATTCAAATGTTTTAATTAATATATATATGTATTTTTATATATATTTTTTATAAAAATATAAATTAAAAACTTTTCCTATTTATATTTTCTATGTATATCCTTCGGAATGGAGAACGAACTTGTTATTGAAATCAATAATGCATCAGAATCCAGTATCAATATTTACAAACTTTTTCTTCCCGATCAATTTACATAAATAGATTCCATTCTCAACATTGTAATTTACTTAAAGTAGTATCTTTTTTATATCTTCACGCGAAGTTTTGCAAAAGAAAAAAGAAAGAAAACTCCATTAAACAACAAATAAATTATTACAAAAAACAAAAAGAAAAAAAAACCCTACAACTATAATTAAATAATACAATAATTAAATAATTAAATAATACTTCGTATATATTCGCATGTTCCATTTACAAAAAAAAAAAAAAAAAACGAAACAAAAATCTCTGTGTATCGCATCCCCCCCTCCCCCCTCTAAAAAAAGTGCCGGATTTTTAAACACCGGGACCGCATCGATTACGTTCGCTCAACCGCCAAGGGGTAGCGAAAGGGTTGAAAAGACGGAGAGACAATGGAAGGGTGGAAAAGGAAAAGTGGGGGGTGGTTGCAAAAAGTCAAAGGTATGAAACGGTAGTACGCCGGTATCGGTGGAGAATGGGGTGGGCAGGGGGTGTGGTGCGAGCGTCTGCCGGCCTAGAACCAGCTCGCGCGCCGAGTGGTGGGGGTAGCCGCCATGTGCTCGAGCGTCGACGCTCGATCGGTGATCAGTCGTTGCCGCGCGCTCACCGAGTGTACGTCGGTGTTTCACGCGCTACGTATCGAGGCCCCGCGTTCGTTCGCATCGTCTAATCGAATGAGCGTACGTACGTCGCGTTTGACGATCGGTAGAGGAGAAGAGGAGAGAAGCTCGATTTCTACTACGATGACGTTGGTGTACCTTAAAGATCGTTCATCCCGCGTGTGATCGAGAGGGAGCGAGAGAAAGAATTACGAGAGGGGAGAATTAAGAGAGAGAGAAAGAGAGAAAAAGGATCGGCGAATAAATAAATAAAGCGAAGGTATTAGCACGGAAGATGCCAAGGTGATCCTGTTTGCCGCCTCGACAAGCTACTCTTTGACATCTTGTTATCCGGAGGTTGTGTGGAGGTTGTTCTCCGCCCAGTAAATCGGTTAATCGGGATATAATAGGAATAATTGACGTGTGATAACGGAGCGTGGCGACCGCGTGAAAAGAAAGAAAAAGTGGTGGACCCTTTTCGTCATCCACGTTGCGTTTCACGCATACTGGCGCGTTGTTCTCGCCGTACGGTGGAATCGTTCACGATTGTGCCGCGATCATGCACCACACGGCGCCCTGGTATCTACCCTGGGGCCTGAAGCTGGTGCCACTGCCTATACCGCCTGGACACCCCGCTTCCGGCATCCCCAATCCCGGATTGCACCTGCTTGCACCTCTGCCGGGGATCTACGCCCCTGAACCGCGAAAGGTAAGAGAGATCTTCGCACGTAACTACACTTGTCTCACCTTTTGCTATATCGATCCGTCGGCGAATCGACTTCCCCGTGACTCTCTGCGTGACACCGGTTACGTTTCACTCGTTTAAATTTGTTTGTCGGGCTATTTTTCGCCTCTTTTAATAAATTAACCAACGTTACAAAATTAATTTATTAAGAAAGGTTGGGTTTTTTTTTACATTGTTAGATTAATATCTGTCGTCCTCAATTACATTAAACGAGCATAATCAGGATTATCTTATGCGCAATAATAATTTATCAACTAATGATATCGAGGAACAGTGGTTAATAACAACTCGTCTCGTCGTACAATTTACGAGTTAATACAAATAAAAATCTCGTTTATTTCAAATTCGTGATTCGTCGATAATGAAACAAATTTTCGTTAATAACGTCGTTATAATTGAATTGCGCAAGATGCCTCTAGGCCATTCGTATTCTACGACGTTACACAAAGTCCAAACCATAACAGGTTCTTGGAACTATTGCTTTTTATGACCGCCTATGAATTTCTCGCGACGACTAATTTCTCTCCCCTCGCCCCGTCCTCCTCGAAGGGATATTTTCGTTCGACGAACACGGATCAGGTGGCACGATGTTATTGTCTCGGCCTGAATGCCCGAGGGAGGGGAGGGTTAACGCGTTAAAACGGGAAAACAATTCTTGGAAAACGTTGTTGATATTAAGGTTTAGATAACGCGTGTACACATTAGTTTAAATGGAAACAACAATACCGGATAGAATAATATTGCTCTCTCTTTCTCTCTCTCTCTCTCTCTCTCTCTCTCTCTCTCTCTCTCTCTCTTTCTCTCTGGTCAGGTAGCTCGACAGCTGCCTATTATATCTAGTTGGCGTAAAAGTAATATTAATTGAACGAGAACGAAAAAAGTAAATCGATTTTGTTATTGTATCGATGTATTTGTAAAATGATTTGCAAGTTATTTAAATTTTGCGTAAATATCGTTTTTTTTTTCCTTTTTTAAATTTTATATATTCCCCCGTAATTATCGCTTTTTTAAACCCGAAAGATCGGAAAGAAAATATTTTTCGTATTCATAGAAGAGGTATTAAACCTCTCGTTTACCACCTTCGTTTTCCAAATTTATCGGGCACGATAATCAAACGTTGCGAATAATAACTTTCACTCTCGACTCTTCACCGTTATCCCATTAAACGAAAAATAACTCTTACGAGAGTAACGCGTTTCATCCTCAAACGTGTTTTTCGAAATATTCCAATATTCTCTCTCTCTCTCTCTCTCTCTCTCTCTCGATTTCGAAATTGTTCGAAATTGGAATAAAAAAAAAAAAAAAAAATAGGATATAATTTTTCCAGCAACCTATATAATAAACGTGGGATCATAAGAAGCGCATATCGGGAATATCCATAACCCTGGCCTTTCATTAGCTTTGTCCCCGGTTATTGTTCACGGCTTCCACGCCGTGAAAGAATCTTGTTTCAATGTAAATTTAATCTAAATGAAAGTTCGCATTGTCCCCGTGCCACGCTCCCGTGGTCTGATTAAAAAAATCCGTCGGCCGGTTTCTTCTCCCTCCCCTCCCCTCGCCCTCGCCCTCGTCCCGCTTATTGTGCCCATTTCGTTAGTATTAATTATAATCCCCGCGCGAGATTCTGTCGCGTTGTGCAAACGCACAGCACATTCGGCTCGTTAAGTAACCCGACGTTTCTTAAGGAGCGCGAGCTTCTTTCGTCTATTATTTCATACGGCTTACATAATAACCTTCGAACCTTCCAAGATGCGCGTGTTTCTCCCGTTGTGATGACAATTGCGTCGAATCTCGTCCCGCGTGATATTATATTATTCGAACGAAAACTATTCGAAAAAAATCTTTTTACCGTTCAGAGATGATAGAAGAGAATTTTTTTTTTTTTTTTTTTTTTTTGAAAAAAATACGGANTACTTTACATTGGTATATCGTCGATAAACGATTTTCTATTACATTCGTCTATTATTTTGACGGAAATAAGATTCACTAATTCATTCAATTCCGATATTAATCATTCGAGATTTCGTTTCATTTCGATCTATCTTTCGTTACGTTGAGGGAGCTCGCTTTTAATGTATTTGCATATTTCACGGATCTCGAGACGATCTCCTCGCCTCATCTTTGCATTTTTCAACGAGACTCGAAGTTTAAGAAGTTTCGTTAATTATTACCCCCCCCTCCCCACCGTTTCGAGAAAAGTTTCATTCCTCCCCCTTTTCATCAATTACCAAGATATTCTTTTCTTTTTTTTCTGTCTCGTCGCGATCTCGATTCGTTCTTTGTTTTTCACGGTTTTAGTACCGATTATTGCGCACGCTCGAAAGTTGTCGGCGAGGATCTGCCGATCTCCCTCGCTTCGTTTCGATCCTCGTCGTTTTTCTTGCTTAATGGAACGTTTTTTTAGTGGAGTGGATTAGCGCGCACGCGCGTTTCATTAAACGAGTCGTAGATATTTGTATATCGATATTGTGTAGCTTTTGTCCCTGCTTCAATGCGCTTTTAATATCTCCATTTTCCAACCCTTTTACGAGCCCTCCCCCCCTCCGATTTACCACATGTGCTAATAGTCAATTCTTTGTTTCTTCTTTTTTTACACTCAGAAACGAATCCAAGCGCTTGATGACACGCTTGGATAAAATAATTGTTCGACAAAAATCGATTCTTAGATCGAGAAAAAATCTCGGGTGCAACAATTTTTTCTTGCGACAAAATTAACTTTCGAGAGATTAGATTTTTCTTAACATTTATTCGAGGAAAATGGGGAAGGAGAAATCCGCGACGCTTGTTAATTATTCACGTGTGATGCATTAGGAATCTGTGACCGGTTGCGTGAAACTGAACCGTGACCGCGTTGTTTATTTAAATGGCGGCGGTGGGATCGTTTGCGGTCTCGCCATTTCGCGGGCTCCAGTCTGAAATTCGCCCGTTATTAACAATTAAGGGGGTGAGCGGACACCCACTCTTCCCCTTCCCTCGAAACCACGGCGTGAAATTAAAAAAAGGGGGGAAAAATAATTTGTTGATCGCGTTTGAAAAGGGGATGATGATGATGATATACGCGTCGTTTCGATCGCTCTCCACGTTTGATAAAATGGATTTTCGGGGGAGGAAGGGGGAAAAGACGATAAAACGGTTGATTTTGATTTTTATAAATTTTTCATAATTCTTTCCTTCACGTTATGTCGACATAATTCACAAATTATGTATATAAAATTATATATATTAAATTATTTATAGCAGTAATATTATAGTAGTAGTAGTAATGGATTTTCGGGGGAGGAAGGGGGGAAAAGACGATAAAACGGTTGATTTTGATTTTTATAAATTTTTCATAATTCTTTCCTTCACGTTATGTCGACATAATTCACAAATTATATATATAAAATTATATATATATTAAATTATTTATAGCAGTAATATTATAGTAGTAATATAGTATAAGTATAATTCACGAATAGAGGACAGGAAAAATGTGCTACGTATCGATGGCTAATTGGCCAAAAAGGGAAGGATAAAATTATATATATTAAATTATATATATAATTTAAATCATATATAAAATTATATGTATATATAATTTTATAGCAGTAATATTATAGTAGTAATATAGTATAAGTATAATTCACGAATAGAGGACAGGAAAAAAGTGCTACGTATCGATGTCTAATTGGCCAAAAGGAGAAGAAAGATAGAAGAAAAAAGAAGAAAAGAGAGGGAAAAATTTGGACCATTGAGTTTCTCGATTAAAAATTAATTACGAAGTGGTCGAGATGACACGTGCGAATAGGGAAAGAAGTTAGCGTTACGCATCGATGAGTCGGCCAAAAGAGAGATAAAGAGAGATAAAGAGAGATAAAGAGAGAGAGAGAGATGACGCGATAAATTTCTCGAAAATTATTCGCCCATTATTTTCCACCACGGATTTTCGATCTTCGAGTATCCACGAGTTATATATTTCTATCGATTTATGGTTTCTGTACGCGGCCGAGTAAGAAACGCTTCCGATACCGCCGTGAAATATGCGGTCTCCGCTTGTTAAAGGGGGAACACGTGTGTATCGCGCGTTCGGCCACTTATCGACGGAGGAATGGACTTGCCTCGGTCGATATACACGTGGACGAATAGAATTTCGAATCGATTACTTCTCTTTCTCTCTCTTAGAGGATAAATTCCAATCGTTGGATCAATTTTTCATGTCGAGTATGCAGAAGATATTCAAATATTTTTCTCCATCCAAAGATTTCCATTCCGAGCTCCACTTGTTTAATAACATTCGTATAAAGATATCGAATTTACGAACGCGCGAGGATCCACGGTCTGATTATTATCGAGTTTATTCAAATTAATTATCCTTCACAAGGCTGAAACGCGTGGTGTGCCGTGCCCCACCAACTAAGCGAACTAACGACCGACAAGATTTAATTTTTCCAACGAAACGTCCTTCTCCCCTCCCCACCAATCAATCCCCTCCCCTTTTCAAAGTTTTCGCGAAACACGAACCCGACTCTGGGGAGGTTTCCAAGTGATACAAGTTGGATAATCGGTTCGACCTCGCGAATTCGGGTTAATATTAAATGGGTCCCGACGATACACGTGTGTATATATATATATATATATATATATATATATATACGTACGATATTAAGCAAGGTTTCCCCATCCTTTGAACGGGCTTTCGACAGCTTCGAAAACTCTTTAGGGCGACGGTTCGCGTAAGCAGCCGGGCAACTTTTATTCCCTGTCACGTAGAGCAGCATTCGCAAAACTCGACGAGAGCCGGTCACGAACGTGGCTCTCCCCCGACGTGCTCTCTCCCCCCGTTTGCCTTAATTTCTCTTTCAATCGTTCTATTAATTTAGCCACGAGCTGGAGAGGGGAGGGGGTCGAGATTTTTGGCCGACGATCGCAAAAATCCCCCGATCCGCGCGGAGTGGTGGTGGGGGAATCCACGGAATTGGCAATCC